GATCCCTACATTTGTATCTTTGGGGTAAATACCCAATAGGGCAATTGCTGGATCATATGGTAGCTCTATTTTCAACTTTTTGAGGAACCTCCATACTGTTTTCCAGAGTGGCTGCATGTAATCTTTTTTTTTTACTCATAAAATATAATGGCAATTTCTCAGGTCATAAAAGAACTATAGCCGTTATGACCATTTATTTAAGAGATGATTTATCTATTTTTTCCACTAACAGATTTTTGGATGGTTTTCTTTTTTTAAAATAAGCCCCACCAAAAAAACAAAGCACAAAAATCCCTACCAGACTATTTGTTTGGATTTGTGGGTATGTATAAAAAAAATTGTTCTCTTTATACCTAAGCATATTTTTATAGGCATTTTCCAGCTTTTAATTAAGCAGCTTTTTTTCTCAGCATTACCCTTTTTGTTGGAGTCTCTCCTTTTAAATTGATTGAAACTGCATACAAAAAGACATAAAAGATTTCTGAGAAGAAAATCAGCAGAGATTAAGAGATAAATTAACAATGACTTATCTTAAAAACTGATTATAGAAGAGTGATTTTTCACACCTTCTAGTTCAAATAAGAAGAGGGATTTTTCACACTTTCTATTCCAAATAAAAATAAGAGCAGAGGGTGTTGAATGGAAATCAAAGTTTGATCTCTGAAAATATTTATAATAGGGCATTGCTTAGGAAATCAATTTTATTAGTTTAATGCCTTAACTTTTTATATATGTAATTCAAATTTTCAGGAAGAAATGAGAAAAGCCACAATTGATCTCCTAGAAATTGAAAGCATGGAACTCAGCAGACTATATTTTCTACTGGAAACTCTTCCCAGTAACATTGGCAGAGAATTGGAAGGTACTTTTAAGGTTATCAACCATAGAAACTTAGTTTATCTTATAAGAAAATAGAGCCTACTACTTTAACAAGACAAGTTTAATAGTTGGGTCATGTCAAAATATAGCTAGAAAGAGTACACAGCACAAACACAGATCCGTAATAATGTTCTCTTACATTTTAAATGGAAATGATATATATAAAACTTGAATTTATATAGTTTAGTTTCTAAATAGACTAATGATATGTAGATCAACCCATTCCAAATTGGTATTTATCCAATTAAATTAGGCAGTTTGACTCCCCTAAACCACCATTCTACTTTTTCTCCCTGTAGGTTTGGGGATTATAGGTACCTCATATAAGTGGAATCTTACAATACTTGTCCTTTTGTGACTGGCTAATGTCACTTGGCAGGTCTTCAAGATTCATCCATGTTGTAGCTTGTGTCAGAATTTTCCTTCATTTTAGGGCCGAACAATATTCCATTGTATGTGTATACTGTGTTTTGTGTGTCTATTCATTCACTGGATGGACCCTTGGGTTGTTTCCACCCTTTACCTATCCCGAACAAAGCTGTTATAAACATGGTGGTGCAAATATCAGTCTGAGTCCCTGCTTCCCATTCTTTTGGGCTTATATGCCGAAGGGAATTGCTGGATTGTATGGTAATATGGTACTTTTACTTTAAGTTTTGAGAAACTGCCATACTGTTTTCCATAGTGGCTGAAGTATTTTACATTCCCACCCACGATGCACAAGGATCCCAATTTCTTCACATTCTTGTCAACATTTGTTCTTTTCTATTCTTTCTGGCTTTTTAGATATAGCCATTCCAATGGGTGTGAATTGGTATCATGGTTTTGATTTGCATTTCCCTAATGACTAGTGATGTTGGGCGTTTTTTCATGTGCTTATTGGTAATCGGCTTATCTTCTTTGGAGAAATATCTATTCAGGTCGTTTGTTCATCTTTTAACTAGGTTGTTTGGTTGTTATTCAGTAGTGGGAATTCTTCCTCATGGAGTCTGGATGTTAACCCTTTATCAGATACATGATTTGCAAATATTTTGACCCATTCCATGGTTTGCCTTTTCACTCTGTTGATACTGACTTTTGATGCATAAAAGTTTTAAATTTTTAAAAAGATTTTATTCATTTGAGAGAGAGAGAGAGAGTGAGAGAGCAAGCACGGAAGGAGAAACAGACTCCCCTCTGGGCAGAGAGCCCAAAGTGGGGCTCGATCCCAGGACCCCAAGATCATGACCTGAGCCAAAGGCAGATGCTTAACCAACTGAGCCACCCCATCTGCCCCCAAAAGTTTTAAATTTTGATGTAGTACAGTTTATCTATATTTTCTTTTGCTGCCTATGCTTTTGGTGTCCTATCCAAGAAATCATTGCTAAATCCAGTGTCTTGAAGATTTCAATCTCTTATGTTTTCTTCTAAGAGTTTTAAAATTTTAGGTCTGACATTTAGGTTTTTGACTCCTTTTTGGTTAAATTTGGTATTTGGTGTAAGGTAAGCATTCAGTTTCATTTCACCAGCTGCCAGGAGTGTTGGCCGAGGCTCACAGCTCAGGTCCTCTACAGGAATTGCCCTAGACAAGAGAAATGCTTGACACTGCCCCCTGCCCCATCCTGGTCCATTGTCTCCTCAGGTGCAGCGCATGTCCAGGGAGCAGTCACTGTGAGAATACAAAGGCCCGCCTCCCCTGCTCAAGAACGACTCCCAAGTGTCCTCACAGCTCCAAAGCTCATTGCTATTTAACCTCCCCCTCCCCCACCCAGTGGTCTAGATTAAAAACAAACGAGCAACAGCAACAAAACACTTTTTAAGTGGATGTTCCAGTTATCCGTTCATTCCCTTGCAGCTCCAAATCTACCTTCCTTGCCTATTCCATGTTGAGAGAGCTGGGCCCTGTCGTTTCCCCCTTTACCAGCCGGCACAATGTTAAGTTTTGTCAAGAGAGGGCACTGGAGGGCGCCTGGGTGGCTCAGTCGTTAAGCGTCTGCCTTCGGCTCAGGTCATGATCCCAGTGTCCTGGGATCGAGCCCCGCGTCCGGCTCCCTGCTCTGCGGGAAGCTTGCTTCTCCCTCTGCCACTCCCCCTGCTTGTATTCCCTCTCTCACTGTGTCTCTCTCTCTCTATCAAAAAATAAATAAAATCTTAAAAAAAATGTTAGTTTCTTAAAGGTATTCAGCCATAAACTACTGGAGGTCTGAGGGATGGGATTGGTTCCCAGCAGAGAATTAATTACAGATTTCATCTGTAAT